AGTAAATATATTATTACAGAGAGATTCCAGGAGAGGCTGCTCTTGGGCTGGCCTTTTCCCCTTCTGGATGTCCTCTGCTGCCGCCTAGCACTCTTGGAATTAATTGAGTCCAGACCCAACACTGACTACATATCCCTCTGATATTTCCTCTTAATATGACTTTTGCAGGACATTGATTTCAAAAGATGCCACTCCCTGTACAGGACTGAGTGTCTCAGTCCTATACAGGGAATGGCATCTTTTAAAATCAATGTGGATCAACTACACAGTTAAAGAAATGAGTATTGAAAATACAACCTGATGTTAAAAAAACAAACAAACCACTATTCTTGATTCTGTATAATTAAAAAGTCTTCCTCCTTTTTATTTCAAGTCTGTCTCTGTCACTTCAACTGAAATAAGCAGTCACTCCTGTTACCAACGTGGCCAGCAGGGTGCATATCGCAGTTTGTCTAGGATATGATACCACCAATAATGTCCATTACCATGTGTGAATCAATGACAAAATCATTAGATGTGGTCCTCTTAATGTCACAGAGAAGAAAAAACACAGGGAAAACACTTCTTATTTAGGATTCTGGCTTCCTTATGCATTAAAGACCTGCCATGTACATTAATGACAACACTCTCATTAACTTCAGTCATGCAGGATCAGGCCCCCAAATAGCAACTTTCCATAGCTAGTAGTTGCATTACTCATTAGCACCCAAAAAAAGGTGGAGGTTATACTTTTAAATACAGAAGTGATTTTTTTTTTATTCCTGACGTTTAGATCAATTTAAAAGGAGGATCAAATTAGCCAGTGACCAAATTAAGAGAGAAACTGTAATTGAAACCCTGGAAATGTTTCTTGTTTCATTGGTTTCTGGTTATTCTGACAGATTATGCAGTAGAACCATGTAAATTTCAAAGGTTTTTCCTTCCTTCCTAGAACTAATCTGCCATGATATAATTCATAGATTCTAAAACCAGAAGGAACTATTATGATCATGTAGTCTGACCTCCTGTATGCCATAGGTCATAGAGCCTCACCTGGTAATTCCTGAATCAAGTGTATAACTTCTTTTTAAACTAGAGCATAACATGTAGAGAGCTCTCCGGTCTTGATTTAAAGACTTAAAGTGATGGAAAATCCACCATGTGCTTAGGAAAGTGGTTCCAATGGTTAATCACCCTCACTGTTAGACAAATTTAGATGCAAATTTTTATCTTCAGCTTCCAACCATTTAATCTTGTTATGCCTTTTTCTGCTAAAGAGCCATCTACTATCAGAAATCTCTTCACCATGTAGCTACTTATAGCTCATTCATGAACAAGCTATTTCTTAACCTTCTCTTGGATAAACTAAGTAGATTGAGGTTCTTAAATCTCTCACTGTAAGGCATGTTTTCCAGACCTTGAATCACTCTTGTAGCTCTTTTCTGAACCCTTTCTAGTTTTTCAACATTAGTAGAATGGACTAGATCTTTGAAGAGGAAATACACAAGTAGGATATCATTTGCCTGGATATTTGGGGTGGTGTAGTGGAAGAGGATAGTTGTGGTGTGCTATGTTGAGAGCTGCAGACTATAGAGATGCTTTCTGGGCCCATCATTTATGGTGGAGGATGGGGGAATATTCTTGTAGCCCACCGCCATGGCTTTTCACAAAATATGTATTTTTCTTAAATAATTACCTTTTTAAGTTGCAATTTCTGATGTTCATTCTCAGCACAGGAGGGTTAGAAGAACCAGCGTGGAAAGCTTCTGAACAATCACTTTTTTTACTTATCTGAATCTAGCCTGGAAGGTGAGCATGTTGCAACTGTTATGAATTTTTTCAGCCTTTATTCTTTGCACTTTGAACTTGGATAACTTTATTTTAAAACAACTGCTCTCATATTTAGATCATCTTTCAGCTTTCCCCCCCCCCCCAGATTAAAAAATGCTTTATAAATATCGCTCCATTGATCATAGATTTTATAATCCTCTCATGTGTATGGGCTATCAAAATGCCCTCTGAGAGGTATCTAGTCCTGTTATAATCCATTATGGTTGTAGAACTGTACCATTTTCCCCCAAGTATTCAATTATCTCTATTTCGGTAACACAACTAGGCTGATAGCTTTTGAATATCTACTTTTCAGTGCAGATTTACATAACACAAGAGTAGGCTTCTCATTTCCACCGCTGATGTCATTTTCTTTAACCCTCAGCTAGACTTGTGCAGTATGCATGTGTGTGTCTAGACAGGAACTCAGTGTCCCATACCCACCAGGCTAATCTCTTGTGTGCTTACCACTTGATAGTTGCAGTGCTGTGCTGCAGACTGACTGTCACCTCTCTGAGAGGACTGGATCCAGACTTCTGTGTCTCATCCAACTGGTGGCTGCTGAGGAGACAGAAGGTCCTAATGATTTCTAGTTCACACTTAGCAGAAGGGGAGGTGAAATGTGGGGGTGGGATGAAGGGAATCAAGTACAGGTGTATTATGATGAGCACTGTTTTATATTGTCACTCTGGTGTATGGATTGTCACGAATGTGTGTGTGTTTCAGTGGTTCCCAAACTGGGGTTCGTGAAATGTTACAGGGGGTTCTCGGAAAAAAATTCCCTAATGGCGGACAGAGCTGTCCCTAGGGACCCCGGGCAGCATGGGGCCAGCAGCCTGGAGCCACTGGACTTCCACGAGCTAAGCAGATCAAAGCAAGCATATCTATCACACTGAGGAGATTTAAACTTCAAGACTCCTTATAAGAAACGGAAAGGGAGGTGGATATTTTTTGCTGTTTTTAAAATTAAATAGGCAGCTAGTATTGGTTTTTTTTTTTTTTTAATTATTATGAAGAACAAGTTTAAGCTTTGTTGTAATGTGAATTGTTTGCCTGGACTGCTCAAGACCTGAATGCTTGTGTAGGAGGAACTCTTTGAGTTGGCTTCTTAAATACCTTCATGATGTTTCACATCTGATACTCCTTGATGAAACATAGGAGCCTTGTCTTATAACAGGCTTATTCAAAGTGATACAAGCTACAAAAGTGAGATATTGGAAGAGTGTCGCCATTTTCATAATGTAATAAAAATACTTTAATGATAAATAATAATAAATAGTGTGTAATATGCATGTCATAAAAACAAATTTTATATTTCCCAGATCACTGCTTTTATAATTTATACTCAGATAAAGGAGAAAATCCCTGGAAATATTCATTTTTATGAGGGGGTTCGCGAGACTTGACATTTTAGTGAAAGGGGTTCACAGGTTGTTGAAGTTTGGGAACCACTGGTGTGTTTAAAGCACAAGCAAGCAATGGCTTTCAGGGCAGCGCAGTCTCCAATCCAGCCCTCCTCCCTCCTTATGTTAAATAGGCCCCAGCGGTGTTCAGGTGGGAGCCTGGAAGTGAGTTGTCTCTGCTTCATGGGCCATTTGACACAAGGGATGTAGGACTAAAGAGTGGCTGAGCTGTGAGGCTGGGGCTGAGGGGGGGGCAAGGGATAAGGGCTGGGAAGCAGAAGGGGGTGATTGGGAAGGGGGTGGCTGTGGCAATGGGGTGGCTGATCTGGATAGGAGAGGGAAATTGCTGGGGCAAAATGGCTGGAGGTAGCAATGACTGAAGGAAGGAAGGGGGTGGGAAGGATAACTGAGCTGGAGACAGATGGTTGGGAGAGCTATTGGCTGAGAGGGAAGAAGGATAATGGGTGGCAGAGAGGATGGCTGGAAGGGGGAAGGGCAGGAGGGCTAGCTGGGCTGGGCGGGAAGCAGGGGGCTAGCTGGGCTGGAGGGGGAAGGGGAGAAGGGCTAGCTGGGCTGGAGGGAAGAACAGGACTAGCGGGTGGGGAGCAGGTGGCTAGCCGGGCTGGAGGGGGAAGGGGAGAACAGGACTAGCTGGGCTGGAGGGGGGAGAACGGGACTAGCTGGGCAGGGAGAACGGGACTAGCTGGGCAGGGAGCAGGGGACTAGCTGGGCTGGAGGGTGGAGAACAGGACTAGCTGGGCAGGGGGCAGGGGACTAGCTGGGCTGGAGGGGGAAGGGGGGCAGGGGACTAGCGGGGGTGGGGGGGGGAGAACAGGACTAGCGGGTGGGAAGCAGGGGACTAGCTGGGCTGGAGGGGGAGCACAGGACTAGCTGGGCGGGGAGCAGGGGACTAGCTGGGAACAGGACTAGCTGGACGGGGAGCAGGGGGCTAGCTGGGCTGGAGGGGGGAGAACAGGACTAGCTGGGCAGGGAGCAGGTGGCTGGCTGGGCTGGAGGGGGGAGAACAGGACTAGCTGGGCGGGGCGGAGTGGCTGGAAGAAGCGCTGGTCCGAGCAGGACAGGGGAGGCTGGGGCTGGCCGAGCGCCCCCCCCCCTCCCCCTGTTGCTGTCCTGTCCGTCTGACTGAGGAGGCCCTGAGCACGCTCGGGTCCGAGGCGGGCGAGCCCGTGCCCCCCGGAACGCTCCCGCCAGGAGCGGGCAGTCGGAGCTAGCCGCTCGCCCCCGGCCTGAGGGAGGCTGCTCCTGGGTACACAGGGAGGCGGGGTGGTAGCGGGTGCCGGTAGCTGAGCTGGAGGAGATGTGGCTGGGGGCGGTGTCAACCCCCAGCCCCCTGGAGCGGCAGCCAGTCCCTTCGCGCTGGCTGGCTCCGTGCTCCCGCCGCAGTACGGCGAGGCTACAGCCTGCGGAGCCAGGGGCTGTCAACAGAGGGGAAAGCCAGCGCGGGAGGGGGCCCGGGCGCCACAGACACAGAGATCGGGACCGATGCAATAAAATGCACCTCCTGCAAGTGCCCCTTGGGAGGAAGCAGCCGCAGGAGGCGGCGGCGGCCGGGAAGTGAAAGGTCGGGAGAGTCCAGCTTGCCATGCCCTGCACGGGAGCAGCAGGAGCCCGGCGGGTCCCCGCGGGGAAGTGAAATGTTCTCAGCGAGGCACGCGGCTCCCCGGGGGCTGGAGGAGCCAGCAGCTGTCCCGCGATGTCACTCCCCGGGGGAGACTCGGGGGCTGGAGCCTCCCTCCTGCCCTTAGCACGCCAGTGAGTGGCGAATGAATGACCTGCCGGGAAGGATTTGCTCTGGAGAACCTTCTTCATGTGCAGAAGAGATTCCAGGCGCCTGGTCCTCCTCCTTGATTCATGCACTTTGCCCAGGAGTTTGGCCATGGAGAGCTGGGTCTGGCTCATTGTACTTCTGGGCTGCTCTGCTGTAGCTGCAGGTGGGTCTTGATGTATTTTCATTCCTTCTAAACCTTCTCCCCAATCCTTAACCTCTAGAAAGGAATAAAGCTGCTGGGGAACACAGTTTCCGACTATGAAATCGTTTCATATTCCCTATCTTCCTCCTTCTACAGCAGTATATGTAAGCCGCTGGTTAAGGGCAGTATTTACCCTTAACGATCAAAGTTTATCTTTCTAGCCCGATTATCATTTTCAGAGCGAACAAAGAAGAGTTTTACTTGCAATGTACTCCACTGTGTATATGAACAGACACCCTTAGACTTTTCCTGTACAGGTTTCGGATCTCAATGTTCCTTAGCCGCCTCTCAAGGAAAAGATGTAACATTCGCTTTTTAAAAATGTGATCGGCCCTTTAACAAGTTCATAAGAGAGTGTGAAAAGTCAAGTGGAATGGGCGAGCCAGGGAAGACATCAGGAAGGCGCAGTTCGTCCAAGAAGGAAAGATGACAATGTAGCATACTGGTGAATGCCATTAAGTTGCTTTTTTAAACTCAGCCCTTTTTCTGCATATGGATACAGGGAACAGGAGCTTCCTTAGCAGGAAAACGAATAACGAGCTTGGATTATTTTAGCTATAGCTGGAATGGCCTCTAAAGGGAAAAAGTGCCTCTTCTATGGTCAAGAACAGTCAGTGTTTCTGAGAAGTGTGCATTCACACCTCAGGTTCTTCTGTTTTGTTTGGGCTTTTATTGATTCCTCAGAAAGGGGTCCTCAAACAGTAAAATGTTCTATGTTCAAGTCACCTTTCTCTCTTTTTTTCACTTTCCTTTCCCGCTAGTTCCTGGACATACTGTGGGCGTATTTCCCAAGTCAGTTCTCATTTTGCCAGAATTTATTTTCAGGAATGCAAATTAAATTCCATATGGGGCAGCTTGTCACACTGCTTCCCATCCAACACTGCAGATGCATACCAGCAGTCTTGTGTCCATCTCCTCAGCCTCAGCAGTAAGGGGAGTTTTCAACGGCTAAATACTGTAGGTACAGACTGGCTAAGCAACATCTTAGAGGGGACATGGTGACTGTCTAGAATAGTTTGGAGAGGGATATAACTAGGAGGTAATGAGAATGAAAGTGAAAAAAAGGAATATTTAAACAAAACACCAAGAAAAGCTTCTTGACACTGAAAGTTTAGGAAGCTCACCATGTGAGACAGCCAGAATTAGACTGGGCAAAGCACCAAACAGTGCACTGTAGCTGCCCTGGTAGGAGATGGAGCGGGTGTCCTGATAAGTGTTTTCCAGCTGTAATTTCTATGAGCTATCCCTTTATCACATCTGACTCTGAGGGAAAAGTCAGACACGTGCATTCTTTCTGAAGTAACTGCTACTTTAAGTTTATGCACAAGCAAAGCAATCTAAAGATCTCAAATAAGATAAACATGCCTGGACTTTACTGACCCTTAGCACTGACACCCCACAGTGCCTACACTCATGTTGCTCATAGCACCTTTACATGAAGTAAAGATAAGATAGCTTTCATTCACTCCCTTTGGCTGACTTATTTATTTAGAAGCTCCTTGTTATCTGGTTAGCATATAGTACAACAGTGTATCACTGAGATTGTTCCTTACTGCTTATTCTGAGTCTTACCAGCTAAGATCTACAAGATAATGTAGCTCTAACAATCTTGGTGTCAGTTACTATCCTTGTGGTGTGGGAACCATTACTTCAGTATTGGAGGGGAATGAGAAAAGCAGAATTCACAATGTAGTAAATAAAGTTTTTAGTCATGCTTATAATTATCTTTACAGTACTGATGGCAAAACTAGCACACAGATAAACCAAAGCTTTAAACCCCTTTCCCACCCTTGCCAAATGTATTTAATATAATAAACACTTTGTACTTACAAGGATCTCAAAATACTTCACAATTAGGCTTTAATGTTGTGTTATATAAACTGTTTATATGTTTTCTTGGAGCGTTTTCAAGCCATGGGCTGATTTTCTTTTTGAACAAACCTCATTATCAGCTTGTTATAGAAAAATCATATAATCAATTGCAAGGGTGTAAGTGAAATGTTACTAGGCATGTGTGTCAACTGAAAAAATGCTTAAACAGGAAGCATATGTTAGGCCTGGATATTTTACAGGTGAGTCATGGTGTACCTTGTGTGCTCTTGTCCATTACTAAAGATTGCTGTTCAGTGGTATGTACAGTATATAGGGTATGAAATAGCATATGGTTAAGCATAACCATTAAGGGGTATGGAGACGCACCTCTGTTTGGTAATGGAAGAGCTGACGTGAGTTTGTGGCTGACAGTGTGAAAATCTTTATGCTCCAGTCTGTCAATTTTGCTGTATTCTTGTGGTAAACAGCACTAAGCCAGAAAACTGTCACATCTCACAAATTGCAGCACTCTGCATCCATCATTCTAATTTTTTTCATTTGAAAAAAAACCCTCCTATTATTCAAAGGTTTTGTTTTTTCCCCCAATATAAGAGGCAATGGCTTGTGAATTCCAACAGCCTGAACCTGTCCCCATTGACTCCAATGGGAGCAGGATCCACTCCCAAATAAGGAATGAAAACTATGGGCCTGATTCAAAGCCCCTGGGAGTATAGAAATAAGGCTTTGATGCTAGCAGGTGCTAACCACTTCTGAGTATCCTCACCTCCCATGGACTTTAATGGGAGTTGTGTGCTCAGCACATCATGGACAAGCTCTGCAGGACAGAGCCCCGAAGAGACAGGCCTACCAAAGGACTACAGAAAGTGTTTTATTTACTTTAATCCATTTGTCAATTTAAGTATAATGCTTTTGCATCCGAACAGTTACTGTAAGATCCTTGGGGCAGAACTTATGGGTGAAATCCTGGCTCCATTGGAATTCCCATTGACTTTAGCAGGGCAATGATTTTAGTCCACGTTTTCCTCTATATACTATACAATATTGAGCACAAAGATAGCACTTGATCAATATGGATACTCATTAAAAATCATATTGGAGTCCTGACTGAGAACTGACATATTTATTTCTTCACAAGAGTGCTTGCTATTAGAGGTAGTAATTTGAAATGTAATGGTGGAGGGTGCTACAGTAAATGTTCACCTGTTTATTTAACAGGTAACTTCACTACAATAATGTAGCTAAAGAATCCAAGAAAGCAGCCAACACATAAATTAAGTCAGCCCATGGTAAGCCTAACTGATAATGCACATGGTAAAATACTTACTTCCCTATCTCTCAGGAGAGCTGTGTCGATTAGTTTATGTTTGGTCAGTGCTTTGAAAAGGATCTCTATAAGGGATAAGTGTTGTTCTGTAAATTTTACAGTTGTATTTATTCACTGTTATGGGCATAAGTGTATTTTGTAAATTTGAGCTGAGACTGTCTTATTTTAGTTCTTGCCTGCAACTGTCCTTTTTAATGCACTTAATTTCTTATCCCTGTAGGGGATTCATTATTTCACAAAGTATTTTGGTCATTAAAATCTTTCCAAGATATTTTTATCCAATGCAATCTGCCCATTTGTAAGTGCTTTATAAACAATGTTCCACAGCTTTTCATAATCTGTATAAAAAACTTTCATAGATCCTTGGTATTAGAAATGGGGGTGAGGGAAAATCTATCAGATCATTAAATCTACCCCTCTGCTAATGCAGGATAGAACTCCAGTGCAACTACTATATACCAAAGCTGAATAACAATAATAGCCCCCAGATAAAGGATGTATTGGATAGTAAACCAAAATGACTTGAACTTAGCAAAAAGACCAAGAAGAAACCATAATCGTTAGTGCATAAAGCTTATTGTGTATGTTTGGCCCAGTGATAAAGAACACATTATGCACCTCAAATGTTTTGGCATGCCCATTTTCAAGTCATCAGAGCTGTTTTGTTTATTTTTTTTAAGTTAAATGGCTATGGGTCATAAAATGCAATCTAGTTCCTGACTGACTGTCAGCTTCATTAATAGGTGGAAAGTTTATAATAAAAATTACTAAACCATGACTGTAACTTTGCTAAAGATTTCATACTGAACCCCTGTGGTGATTTTATTTTCTGTGTAGACACTGTAATTGCATGAGTTTTAAATCAACAAGACTTCTAGACAAACCTGAACAAAAACCACGTAGACTAAATTACAGGGCAACTTGCCAGCACCATTTCAACAGTGGAATTTTTTCTTTACACACCATTAGTGACAAACTTCCAAAATATGAACCAGTGTACCGGCTAAATCCTGACCTCTGCAGCACCTGGGGAGGGGATGCTTCAGTGTTCCTACTATGCAAACAACCTCCAGGCTCAGTAGGAATACTGAAGCACCTTGCTTGAATATCCCTCCACAACTCGCCTCCCTGTCTCCTACCCAGAACTCAGCTACCTCATCTGCCCAGTAAGCCCTAGCACCACCCAACCTCCACGCTACTTACTGCTTTCTTCATGGCCTCCTCCCTGTCCTGTGATGGGATGGGTCTCTTTCTGGGGTCTTGAGGAGAGGGGTTGTATGGCCATACCCTGAGATACCAATATATCTTTGTGGGTATTCAGACAGGGTCACTGCCCCACTTCAAATCCTCAGGGTTTTCTGGGATAGCTCAGGAAGCAGCTTGGTTTCCCCTAACACAGGACAGCAAGAGAAAGGAGTATTCCCTTTCCCAACTGAGGTGGCTGCCATACCAGGGAGTGCTCCATAATGTTTATTGTGGTAGCTAAAAAACCCTCAAGGTTCCCTAGAAACTACCCAATAGGACTTTTTCCTGCATGTGGTTTCCAGGGAACCCTTGAGCGTTCCTTATCTACCACACTAAGCCTTAGGCGGCATCTACTGCCCCTGGGTTTAATGTAGCATCCACTGCAGAGGGAGAGGGAGCTAGGCTGAGGCAAAGGGGCTGTAGGGCTGTTGTAAATGCCCCTCAGTGGAACAGCCGGGGGCATTTTGGGACCAGGAGGAAGTATGGCTGGGGCAGGCCTGTGCTCCAGGTGTTCTCTGGCCACTGAAACAGGTGCAGTCCTGAGGGCTGCCCTGGTCTGCAGCAGTTCCCTTCAGCCCCTGACTCTGGGCTTCTCTTCTTGATCTCTGTGTTGGCCAGTGCAGGATTTAGCTACACTTGTGTGAAGGTTACACAGGGAGCTGTTTCACATGGTAACCTGAATGCAGTCGTCTGAGAGCAATGCCGTTAAAGATCAATTGCTTTAGATTAACACGTACTTTCCTTCACCTAGGACTGAGCAGTGTTGTTGGAGTTGGGTCCCATTGCGAAAAAGCATGCAACCCTCGAATGGGAAACCTAGCCCATGGACGAAGATTGTGGACAGATACCACATGTGGGCGCAACTCCACCGAGTTTTACTGTTCATATAGTGAGAATGCGGACCTGACATGCAAGCGGCCCAAGTGTGACAAATGCAATGCTGCTCACACCCATCTGGCTCACCCGCCCTCTGCAATGGCCGACTCTTCCTTCCGATTGCCTCGCACATGGTGGCAGTCAGCTGAGGATGTGCACAAGGAGAGGATCCAGCTGGATTTGGAAGCTGAGTTTTACTTTACTCACATAATCATGGTGTTTAAGTCACCAAGGCCAGCAGCCATGGTTCTGGAGCGATCCCAGGATTTTGGGAAAACATGGAAGCCTTACAAGTATTTTTCCACTAACTGTTCGGCAACTTTTGGCCTAGAGGACGATGTGACAAAGAAAGGAGCAATTTGCACTTCAAGATATTCAAGTCCCTTTCCTTGCACTGGGGGAGAGGTAAGTTCACTGGCATGTTAAAGGGATACTGTCAAGTAATGTTGGCCCTGAATTCAGTCCCCTTATAACCTTTGCTCCAGAATTTATGTTTCTCATCTTAAAGTGCCACTGTCAACTTGAAATCTAGTTAATTTCAAGAAATGAGTTAAAAGTAGTTGCAAGTACTACATCTGTGTGGTTTTACAATCACATTTTCCTACTTTTAAAAATGTTTCTCTCTCCCGTGTTGCTTTGTGAAAGACCCACACAAGCAACAGGTGATTTGACTATACTGGAAAAATGTTGAAACTGGCACACACACACACAAATATTGTTAATTTCAGAAAGTAAACAAATGTGATGGAAGGAGAAAACAGAAAAATATTTTTCTCCATTCTCTTTCAGTTCTAGTAATTTTAAATGTTACTTGTAACAAAAGGTCAAAATTTGACAGAAATGGGGTTATTTTTCAACTGATGGTGTCCATATCCCTGTTAAATAACTACCACTGTCACCAACAAATTAAAGTAAAATAAACCAAAAAGAGCCACTGCTTACGTTGACCCTATAATTTTCCTGTAATTCTGTGGAAGAAGGACATACTAGTTAATTAAGAAACCCCACTCCCTCGTACATGCTATGTGCATGGACGCTAATATGAAAAAAAGAGGTAAACAAAAGAAAAATAGAAGATAAAAATCACATTTGCTAAAAGAAAAATGACAATATTGAAAAGAAGTTATTTTATACATTACAGACAACAGAAAATAAAGAACATATAGATCTGCTACACAATGCATTGTTTTGCTTTTTTGCTTACACTGATAATTCAACTAGTGTTCTGAGAGATTCCCTCTAATGAAACCCTAATACAGAAATTAAGATCTGTTGTGTTGCTATCTCTGGGTTTACACTTCCGTTAGTGGTGAGGTATCCTCGGTGGACTGTTGGTAAAATCTGCTCCCTCTAGTGGTCTTTCAAGAGGTAGATGATCAGTTTACAGTGCTTTTCAGATGTGTTTTGTTTGTTAAATCAAACTTGATTTTCCTTTGGAATAAAATAGAGAATGGGGTGAGTTATTAACAAAAAGAAAGATCAGTTTTATTCTGTTAGACTGTGTTGATTATTTTCTTTGAAGTAAGGCTCCCCATGCCATCGTGCTGGGGATCAATATACATCTCCAAGTAAATCAGGGCTTGTCTACATTACAAAGGCTTTGTTGGTAAAGCTATGCCAGCAGAGCCCTCTAGTGTAGACCCAGTGTGTACAATAGAAGGAGTTTTTCTGCTGGCATAGTAACACTACTTCCCTGATGACACTAGTTATGTCAACAGAAGCACTCATGTTGGCATAGTTGCATCTACACTGGGGTTTTTACCAACATAGCTATGTCAGCCAGTGGTATGATTTTTCCTTGCACACTTCTAGCCAACTTACCTATGCTGGCAAAACTTTGTGGTGAAGACCAAGCCTTAGTAAATCATCTGTTGATACACAGAATTCTCACAAAAACAACGAGGAGTCCTTGTGGCATCTTAGAGACTTAACAAATTTATTTGGGCACAGTTTCCCACCCCCATCCCAGCAGTTTCATGATTCAGTTCATAGACATTTAGGGCCAAATTTCCACTCTTGGATATGTTCATGGAATTCACACTGAATTCAGTGAGAATTTTGCCCTGAGATAGCCATACGTGGTTCTCACTGAATTCAGTGAAAATCACATATAGATATCCCAGTGTAAAACCTGACCTTTAAATGAAAAGATCAGATATGAATAAATTAAGTTGTGATTTAATTTCCCTCAAATTTTGCATCCAAAGGGAGGATTCTTTGTACAGTTTTTCACTTTTTGTTTGTTTTCTTCACGGAAGAATATGTTAGCTCCATAGCAGGGCTTTGATAGTGTTTTAATTTAAAGGGCCAGAACCTCAGCTGGCACACATCAGTGTTCCATTATGCCTGTTTACCCCAACTGAGGATCCAACCCACAGTCTGAAAGCAATTGCCTTGCTAAAGGGTCATAAGGATTGTCACTGTTAAAAATTAACAATACACGTGAAGAGTCAAACAACATCAGCCATCACTGGAGTTATTCAGTTAGCTTTCTCCAGGATTGGGCCCCAGTTTGGTTAAGAAAAGAGTAAGGAGTACCTGTCCAAAGGAATACATAAGTCTATTCACTAAAATGCACCCTTCTGTGTAAAAAGTCATGGGAGGGCAGCAGCTGTTCTGGTCTAGAGAGAAACTTTTAAGTGCATTCTTTTCATTGAAGGAATGAAAGCCTCTAGGCTCACTGAAGAGGCTGGTGTCCTTAGCAGTTGCTTTATTAATCCAATAAAGGGTTAAAATAAGGGGACGACAAGGGAAAACTGCTTCCTGCTCCCCGTCCTTTGGTAAAAGCAGAGAAAGAACTTCCCCTCATGCTGGGGTTGGGACTCACTAAACAAGGGAATCTGTAGTAGAAGTAGCAGGAGGTGCCAGGCTGAGGAGTTTCTTAGGCTCTCAGCATCTCCACCAGTTGTGTGCCATCTCCATAAGGTTATGTAATGCCACTTTACCACGTAATGTTGAGCCCTATGACAGTAGCTACACCAGGATTGGTGACCACTCCCTCTCTAGTTTGATCACAGAAGAGTGTGATTTGTGTGTCCTCATTCACACGATTCCTTGGTAACCTTTCTACAGGTGATGCTCAGAGAGAAGAAATTCAGCCCTGACTTGGGTTTGTAAAGAGTGTAAACCAGGGCAGGATTTGGCTCATCCGTGGTTGATTCTGTAGCTACTATTTGTGTATAGAGTTCCCACTGAAGTCATCCCAGTAAAGTGTGTCCACCTAGAGGTGTGCAAATACAGGCCGAGTCAGTCTGCATGCAAGTCAGTGGAATTTCTGCATGTGCAGCAGCTAAAGGATTGATAGCCCCCTGTGTGGACACAAAATTTGTATCTGCATCCGATCCGCAATCCGCTAATGTGGTCCGCAGATATCTGCAGGTTTGCTGGGCTCTGAACATAAAATTTGGATCCGCGTCCATCCACAAATATGGTCCACAGACATCTGCAGATATAAAGTAGATATCCGCAAATTTGCAGGGCTCTAAGGATTGAGACCCCTACAAGTAGAAGTCAGCAAATACCTTAGGTAAGGGGAGGAATTCAGTGTTATTCAGTGTATTCCAGGTAGCATGCTACAAAGCAATCCATTCACAGAATGGCCTTATTGTTGCAGTGTCTAATATGTTGGCTTCATTTTATTGTAGTTTGTGATAATTGCAAAGAAAGGAGACCTCCAATTCCAAATTGTCTTATTATTTCATATTTTAAAACAAATGTTGAGTTGAGGGGACTGGAGCCCTAAATCATTTGGGAGTTTATGCATATGGCACACTTCAGTTCCCTGCATTTAAACATCACTTGTATTTACGTGCAAAGTAATAACAGCAACTCTCTGGCAACCAGATGGCAAGCATGCATGCTTAGCATAGATCACATTTAATTTATTACAGCGTGCTACATTCCAGCAATTACTTCTAACTGCCAATAGCAATGTGTATCTCACCTAAAGCAATACCAGAGTTTTGTGTGCTGTTTTGAATTATGCACTGCTGACTCCCACTAATTGTAGCACCTAATTTCAGACATATGGAAACAGTTTCAGTTGAAACAGTAGTTTCAATATGCAGCCATCTTAAAATATCTACCTTGAAAGGGTATTATTTAATTGCAGCTAAATTGGCCCAGTATTCTTTAAAACATCAATGTAAACTCTGAACTGCTCACAGGTCTCTTTAATATAAAGCAACTACTGTATAGCGTGACAGCCAACTGCGCACAAGCCCCTTGGAGCACCACTTGAAAAAGTTTCGGTATCATATATAAAAGTCGAGGTACAAAAACACAGGCTGTGTGTGCCTGTATAAAAGCAGTGTGGTCTAAAGGTAAAAAGAAAGGGAATGGAAGTCAAAGTACCTGGGTTCTGTTTGTGACTTTATCACTGACAGATGTGACCTTGGACAAGTTAGTTGGGGCCAAATGGTTAAAAGTGGCTTTTGATTCTGAGGCTTGGTCTACACTTACCCCCCAATTCGAACTAAGGTACGCAACTTCAGCTACGTGAATAACGTAGCTGAAGTCGAAGTACCTTAGTTCGAACTTACCTCGGTCCACACGCGGCAGGAAGGCTCCCCCGTCGACGCCGCGGTACTCCTCTCGTATAGCTGGAGTACCGCAGTCGACGGCGATCACTTCCTGGTTCGACTTATCGCGTCCAGACAAGACGCGATAAGTCGAACCCAGAACTTCAATTCCCAGCCGCCGAACCCAGCCGCTAGTTCGGCGGCTGTAGACATACTCTGAGTGTGGCTCCTCATATCCTGAGACCTGGTGTAGAGCAGAGATTGGAACTTGGGTCTTCCAGATGAGTGTATAACAACTAGGCCATAGGCATTTGCATGCTCTCACTGGCTCAACGACTAAAATGGAACAGCTTCTGCAGGAGAGCTTGGGTGCGCCGCCTCAGGCGCTCCACCTCAGGCTAAACAAGTGGTTAGGGCACTTCTGTAGGTGGTGCAAGACCTGTGTTCAAGTTGCTGCCCTACTTCAGGCTGAGTAAGGATTAGAATGTGGGATCTCCCACATCTGAGATCAGGGCTGTAACCTGTGGGCTATTGAATAAGAGGGGGCTGTACCATCATCTCATTTTCAATGAGAAAAGCTGTCTAACTTCTAAAAGGTGTCTAACTCCAGGAGAGGGTTCTTGGCTGTGAATCTCAAGTGGAGTCCACAGGTAGGTAACTCCCAACCTAACTCCCTTTGACAGGTGAAACTTAAGCCCCTCCACCCCCCACCCCTCACCCCTTTCCTTGCCATTTCCTACTGGGTAACTTAGGTGGCTCCCTGCTCAATGAGCTGGCTTTTGTGACTCCCGTTCTGAGGTGCCTCACTCTCCAGTCCCCATGCATTGTATAAGGAGCCTACACACCTAAGTTAGGGCTGAAGATTCCAATGGGCAGCAGGGTGCC